TACCATTAGATTTACACCCCTTTACCATCTACCATTGATTGATTGCTTCGGTTTCTTATTAAATCCATTTAACATTCTGAATAGTGTTTTTATGGGTCCTAGACTGGCAGTGGTTTCTCTGATGATTGGCTCTAGCTTTTTTCTCCATGCTTTCCCTCTGTGGTCACTTGGAGTGCTTCCAGCAATATTGTGGATCCTCTTTTAAAAGAGGAAGAAAATAGTACTCTGGAGTTTACAGTATAGCAATAGTAGAACAAAGTTTAAAGTCTAGGAAATCAACATAAAAAGCTTTACATTAGAATTTCTCTTATTGGTGAAGTTTTGTTTTAAGATGTTTTAGAATCATTTGATGGAGGTATATCATATACCACATAACTGTACACATTTACACAGATAACTTTATGAATTTGAAAGTAAGTATATCTTTGTGAAAACAGCATTGAAATTCATAACACAAGCAAAACCATTTTTTGAGAGATTTATCTAATGAATTTTTAATTTTTGTTTTTTGTGCCACATCTAGCTGTGCTCAGGGTTTACTCGTGGCTCTGCATGCAAACATCACTCCTGATGCTACTCTGGCGACCACATGGGGTATTAGGATCAAATCCCAGTCGGCCACCACGAGCAAGGCAAGTGCCTTCCCTGCTGGACCATCTCTCCAGCCCCAAATGATCTATTGTTTATTGAAAGGCAGAGTGGCAAACTCTGTAGACATTCTTTGAGCCAGGTCAGTTTTGCTGCTTATTTACTCTGTAAATGTGGAGGAAGTCTTTAATACTTATGAGCTTCTTTATTTTTCTGGGTAAAAGAGGATAATTTTAGTGTATGTTTTAAGCCCTCTTTCAAAATCAAGTGGACCTACATAAGGCACATTGTAGAAATTAAGTCTCAAGAATTCAATGTGATCACTATTATTACAGTCTCCTGCAATTCTGAAGAGCTGTCTCTTTAGTTCAGCCTTTGACAGGTTTTTATTGTTGCTGCCATTCTGTAGAAAATGCGTCAGTGTTAAGTCATAAGTGCATCCCTTCAACATGTCAGTTCATTCTAAAATCAAGTTTTTTAAAAAAGAAAAAAAGTAACAATGGGCCACAGAGATAGTACAGGGGTTATAATATTGCTTGAAGATGACCCTAGTGTGATCCTTAGTACCGCAAACGGTCCCCGAGCACCATCAGAAGTACCCCTTAGCACAGAGGCAGGAATACACCTCTGGGTGTGACCCAGACTGATTCTCCTCTGTAAAAAGAAAGAAAGAAAAAGAAACACCAGAAATATAAATGAAATGGAGAAGATCACAACCAAAGGCTTCCCTCTCTCTGATCCTAGATAATGTGTCCTGGAGAAAGAGAGAAACAGGTTCTCCTTTCATTGTACAACTCGTCACGTGCTTCCGAAGATACTCCTGGCGGCTTCACCTGGAAGAAGTATTCCGGAAGGTAATACTCTCTCCTGACTTCCATCCTTTACTAGCTCACCGAGATGTCACTACCCTTTGTCTTTCAAGTGGGATTGAAAAAATTTGTCAAGCAAGCAAAAACTTTTCGTCATCATCTCAGTGTTGGAGATGTGATTTAAAAAAAAAATATGACAGTGCAGCACAGTGGGAATCTAGAATAAGTAGAGCAAAATCATATAAATAAAAGCTTCAATTTTATGAGTGATAAGTTCTAAAATTCAAAGAGTAAAAGCTGCAGATGTGGTTCAGTCTTAGAGCACAGGCCTTGTATGTTGGAGACTCTGAGTTAGATTGCTGATACAATAATAATAATAATAATAAGAAGAAGAAGAAGAAGAAGAAGAAGAAGAAGAAGAAGAAGAAGAAGAAGAAGGAAAATTTGTATTTAATTTCTTTGCTGCACTTATTAAATATGAATTATGTGCTCTACCAGATAACGGGTTTTAACTTGGTGATGTAGGAATAAAGGACACTTGAAGTCAGAGTGATAGCATACTAGGCAAGGCACTACTAAGTAGCCTACCAGGATTTGACCCTTGGCACCACATCTGGCCCACTGAGCCCTGCCATAAGTGATCCCTGAGCACAGTACAAAGACTAAGCATGGAGCACTGCTGGGAATGATGCAAAATTTTTTTTAAAAAGGAATAAATAATACATATGTAATTTCAAGACCAAACTGATATGTGACTTAAGACTGAACACATGTGACTTAAGAACGAACATTCTTTTCCAAGAAAAACATGTTATGTAAGTAGATGTTGAATTGTAGACTGTAGTGATAGCTAAAAAGACATGACTTAAGACATATGATGGACAGTATAGGTGGAGATGTTCTGGTAGAGTGGCCTGAAAATCCTTCTCCCCTTTCTAATTTCCCCCCAGTGCTCTGGCTCTCTCCACCTGAGACCAATGTCATCTGTTTTTGACCTATTTTAGTCACTTGAATGCAAGCTTAATGAAGACAGATTTACTCCAATTCACATCATGTTTACTGAATAAATAAATGCATGAGGGAAGGAACTCATATTTTCTTCCTTTGGTAAAGATACTGGTAATGTGAGCATGAGAAAGTGTGACTGTTTTCAAATTCAGAACTTTAGTAAACAGACAGATTCCCACGGGACTTTCTGTGAGTCCATGCAAGGGATGTCTCATCTTTATTTTCTCTTTCTTTCTCTCTCTCTTTCTTTCTCTCTTTCTTTCTTTCTTTCTTTCTTTCTTTCTTTCTTTCTTTCTCTCTCTCATTCCCCCCTCCCTCCCTCCTTTCCTTCTTTTTTTTCTTTCCTTTCTTTATTTTTCTTTTGTATTTTGGTCACACCCAGCAATTATTCCTAACTCTGTACTCAAGAATCACCCCCAGTGGACTCAAGGGACTATATGGGATGCCAGGGATTAGGCCTGGGTCAACACATGCAGGACGAGAATTCTCCCTGCTGCCCTACCTCTCAGGTCCCCACACTTCACTTTCCTTTTGTTTCTAGGTACAATAGTCATTTGACAACATAAGTATTAAAATCCAGATGCCCACCATCAAACGGCAGTCCCTGACAAGATATTTCTTCCTCTTTCCTGGAATTTGAAGACAGTTGAGTATCAAATTAATGTGAATATTGGTGGGGAGGTTCAATAAACAAGACCAGCTAATTCACAGCATGGCCAGATTAGTATTCGCTAGGCACAAGATTAGTTGCAATGTTTATTGTACCAATTAGCTTCCAGATCATCTACTGGAAGCTCAGTATTAACCCATAAATAAATCTATCAAAGAGGTGTTAAAGCAGAAACTTACTCATGCTTTGCTTAATTTTTATGTTCATCTTTCCTTTTCCCTTTCTTTCACCCTCATCATATGCACATACATGGCCTCAGATTCTGGAAGAGCTAGAGCACAGATACTGACCGAGGAGATCACACTTAGATTCTGTGGGTTCAGGGATCACATTGCTATCAAGCTACCCTGACCAGACACCATGAATGAGATCATGGGCTGACAGCAGGGATCCATGCAGAAGGGTCCCCCAACTCTGCTCACAGAGGAAATCACAGTATACTCAGAAGCTGTTTTAAGTTTCTCTATTCTGATAAGAAATGAATTCAACTATCCATGTTATCACCATCTTTTCTTTTTTGATTGAAATATTTGCTCATGGTACAATGGCAGACCGAACAATAACTTTTCTCACTCCTATCAATTTTATACAACAATGTTAAAGCATATTATTAATCTCTTCTCACAAATAACCTCTGGTTGTCTCTGAGTACTTTTTGGGTGTCCCTGGTGGTCCCTGATTACTGTGTGGGTATCTTTAGTTATATCTGAGGACTGTTTGGTTGTCCCTGGTGGTCTCTGAGCACTCTCTGGGTGTCCCTGGTGGTCTTTGAGTACTTTCTGGGTGGCCCTGGTGATCCTTGAGTACTAACTACGTGTCCCTGGTGGTCCCTGCATACTGCCTGAGTGTTCCTGGTGGTCCTTGGCACTAGAGGGCCCAGACAGCACCATTTTCTCCGGCTTAGCTTTGACTGAATAGCTGACTAGTTGTCTGAGAATCGCCAGAAATGGGTATGAGTACCCTGTGGACCACTTCAGAGGTCCAACTTCTTTTTTTTAAAAGAAAGAAATGGGCTGGAGCAATAGCACAGCAGATAGGGTGTTTGCCTTGCACGCGGCTGACTGGGGTTTGATTCTTGCGTCCCTCTAGGAGAGCCCAGCAAGCTACCAAGAATATACGACCCACACGGCTGAGCCTGGCAAGCTCCCCATGGCATATTCAATATGCCAAAAACAGTAACAAGTCTCACAATGGAGATATTACTGGTGTCCGCTAGAGCAAATCAATGAACAACAGGACGACAGTGCTACAGTGATATGTGTGTGTATGTGTGTGTGTATCTCTATAATTTAGTGGTTAAACTTTCTATATGTGATAAGGGCTGACCCGAGTTCTATTCCTCTGCCCTTCTCGGAGAGCCCGGCAAGCTACCAAGACTATCTCGCAGTGCACGGCAAAGCCTGGCAAGCTACCTGTGATGTATTCGATATGCCAAACACAGTAACAACTGTCACAATGGAGACGTCACGCCACCTGCTCCAGCAAATGTATGAACAACGGGAGGACAGTGACAGTGATGTGATAAGGAAGTAGATCAGGGAATAGTATACAAACTGATTTTTCTACCCAGTTCTCAATAGATTAATCATCCCCCTCAAGGCTTCCAAATTCACCCTCATTGTTTGGGATTGAACAGCGTCAGTTCAGTGACACTTCCCCGATGTTTAGTGACTGAGGTCACAGAATCTAAGGACTGAGACACACAAATGTGATTTATTAACTGTGTTTCCACAAAAATCATCATCAATAACAATAAAAAACAGAAAGGAGATCCTAGAACCGCATGTATGTTCAATTTTATTGTGGACAATTCGCTATATTCAAGCAGAATGACTGAGTTTTGCTTCCTGTTTTCTAAAGGAAAAAGCGAGTCTCCGCTAGTCTGGCAAAGAATGAGAGCTGCTGATAAGCTGCCTCTCCACTCAGTAAAAGCAAGCAGGCTTTCTGCCAGAGCGAGTTAGAAAGTTGCTTTCGTTTTCACTTGTTCTTCTGCCTAGGAGCTGAACAGCATGGCTGGTGAGTAGCTCCGCTTGATTTTCCTGTTGTTTGTGTCTGTATTGGGGGGCTGTTCCTGCTTAGGGAGCCAATCTGGGGAGAGGAAAAGGAAGAACCATGGGGCACTCACCAGGCAGGTTGCTTTGGGCCAGGAATGTGGGTCTCTGGGAGCTGGCATTGAGTTTGCAAAACTCTAGTTAGCTTTATATGACTTCTGGGAAGAAAAGAAAATGCAAGTAAATGGGGACCCTTTGTTTTTTATTATGTGTCCATGATTTCTGACTTTTCTTTGGATTCCCACTGACCTCCAAACCCTCACCCATTAAGTAAGTTTTCCGCCAGGGTGAAAAGCAGACAGTTGAGTGAAGTTCGTCTCTCTCATATACCTGATCTTCCCTTTAAGGCAGCTGGCCGACCTGCTCCACTCCAAGCTCTTACTCTCTTCCAGCTGCCAAAGGAAACAAAAACAGATTGTTTTTACACTGGAAATACCTTCCTATTTCACTACTTCCTACAGAAAATCATGTGTTTGAAAAGGGAGCCTGCTCTAAATAATGGAACGGTAAAGGAATTCTGGGTCAGGTGCCCTGAGCAGAGTCAGGCATCACAAAGTTCTTTTTGAATCTGCCTCAGTCTTCTTCTCTGAGGAAAAACAGAGGGTGTGACAAAAAGGGTTCACACCAACCGCTAAGTGAATACCAGCAGGTTTAGTATCTCCTGAGGTACAACTGTCATGAAAATCTATGGGCTTCTCCTTAACCTACTAAATTTAAGAATTTCTAAGAATGAGTGCAAGGAGTTCTGCTTATGACATTTCCAGAAGAGTCTTCCCCACAATAAGAATGTGAGACCCACAGGTTGTGGTGCCAGGTCTCTGTGAGTCTGTCAATATATGAATTCCTGTCATGTTTCCAGGGAAAGATGACCCAGTCGACAAAATAAAAGTAATGACCAAGAACTTCCTCGATGGTTTTGTGGATAACTTAGTGGAGAAAGCTGTGATAAACAGAAGAAATTTACAAAACATGGGAAATACGATTGGCAACATTATAAAAGGGACTCAAAACCTATTTGAGGAGCTCAAGGAACAGAGCGGAAAGGGAAACATTGTCATGGTCATCGGCAACCCCAAGAAACAGCTGAGTTTAAGTGAGTATCTTGGGCTGAAAGGGTTAGTTACTTGCCCCCCTCCCCATCCTCCCTGCTGTCCTTATGCAGTTTTTGGCTTCTTATTTTTTCTAGAAATATCCATTAAACTGACCACAACTCTCCAACCTTCCCTGACTGATCAGGAATCTTATTTGATTCTGCAAATGGCCTGGTCCGCATCTCTCTGCACCAGCAGCCTTGCATGCTTTCTACTGCTAAACAATTCTCTCTCCCTTCAGCAGCTGTCCTCCTCCATCAGGCCAATGGGAATTTATGCCTGAGGTTTTGTCTCCACACCTCTGAACTGTAGGCTCCGAGAAGGCTACCTGACACAGCTGGTACTGAGAAAGTACCCGTGTAATAAATTAACGGCGCTGACACTGAATGACCTTCTCATCATTCCTGAGTTGCTCTGCCTGTGGACTTTAAAGTCACTCAGAGGCACAGAATGTTCAGGAGAAAATCTTGTCTCTTCTGCTTAGTTAGGTCTGAGCTCAAGAGATTCACATCTGGAAAGCCAGATTCCTCTTTGTGAAAGAATACAAGGAGTTTGAGTCTAGGTGGAGCATAGATAGGTGATTCTCTCCAGGGTATGGATCAATGCACATTTTCTTTGAAGGGCTAAGCAGTAAATACTTTAATTTTTTTTTTTAATTTTAAAACTGTAATGTTTAGAAGGGCTGAAGTGATAGCACAGCGGTAGGGCTTTTGCCTTGCATGCAGCCAACATGGCCGACCCGAGTTCAATTCCTCCGCCCCTCTCGGAGAGCCCGGCAAGCTACCGAGAGTATCTCGCCCACACGGCAGAGCCTGGCAAGCTACCCGTGATGTATTCGATATGCCAAACACAGTAACAACAAAGTCTCCAATGGAGATGTTACTGGGCCCGCTCGAGCAAACTGATGAACAAAGGGAGGACAGTGACAGTGAATGTTTAGAAATGAGTGTCAGGGCAGAGTTTGAACTGTAGGCCACCAGTTCAGTGTTTCTTTCTGTAGAATAAAATACATACATGAGAATATTTTCAATTCTTGGGAACTGGGGATTCACCCAGTATTAATCTGTTAATGTGGAAACCTTAAATTTAAAAAATTTAAGGCAGCATGTGATTTACAATGTTGTTAATGACAGGGTTTCATGAATACGGTGTTTCAACATCACACCCTGCACAAGTGTTTGCTTTTTGTGCAAAGAATGTTGTTTTCTTGCTCAAGATGAAAATGTATTACAGCCAAAGTCTTAATGAAATATTTTGAGTATTTCTTAAATTATTTATTCAGGGAGGTGAAAAACTCTTTTTCTGCTTTATGGAACCTGTCTTCTTGTTCACTAGGAAGTGGAAATTCTCCAAGGCAAGCTTGGAGCTCAGAGAATGAGGCAAATCTCTAGACTTCCCATGGTAGCTTCATGCTAAACATAGAAAACTGTTAGTCAGGGCAATGAGAAAGTTTTAATTGTATTAGTTCTAGAAAAAATGTTTGACAAAAATGTTTTCACCTTTGATTTTAGAATTAGTGCCTGAGAATGAGGCGGATGAATTCGAGGATGGGCCCTCTTCTTCTGTGACTGGTAACTACACTTACATATCACAATCCAAATGAACGGACAAGAAAACCCAGTACTGTGGAAAGGCAATCCTTGTAAAATTCTAGGAAAGCTGGACTTTTGGGCAATTTTCATCTTCAGAAATAAACTTAGGAGAATAACATTTATCCATTAAAAATTAATTTATGAAGTGAGGAGAGAATAAAGATAACATATTTAAAGAACAAAACAAAACATAAGCATGAATTTCTGCAGAGAAAGAAGAGAGCTCTATGATATAAGAGATGAATTACACACTCTAAGATGGATTTGGGCTATTCTCGAGTGGAATGTGCATTTTTCTTTATGTTTTATTTTCTGTGGTGCCAGGGAATGAATTTAGGCCTTGTACATTACCAAGCTTAGAACTTTTATTCTTAGCTTTCTGTTCATTCCACCTCAGAATCAGAAGATGAGAATGAGAAAAGTGAAGATGAGGAAAAAGTTGGATCAGCCCAGGCATTGGCTCTCCCTTCAACAGGTAACTGACCCAAGCCCAGTGCTCATGGGACCCCTAAGCCTAGTGCTCATGAGGCAGCTGGAGGTAGCCAACATTCCAGCAGCTAGAGCATGAATGAACTATGGCTGAGAATCTGAATTGTCTTTCACTTCTATCCCTACCTAATTAATTCCTTCAAAAATAGGTTTTATGCTTACACTCCTGCTCTTCAATTCTCCAAAGAGTTTAGAAATTAATATGAAGATGAGGAAACTGAGAAGGATGCTTGATTATCCCAGGTGATAGTAACACCTCTAATGGGTTCTACCTCTGACCCAGTCAAAAATACACAGTAACAGTATTTAAAGTCTATAAAAGATATCCCACAAACTTAAATTGGATTTCAATATAGACCTCATGGTCTGAGAGAGGAGATAGACTTGCCTTCTTTTATCACATAGAAATGGAAGTAGGGAAGATGGGCTGAGAGATAAGTTGATATATTGGTTATAGGAGGAGAAATCGCTCTTCCATAGAAATATAGAAGGGACAGAAAGCTTGTTTCTCCAAAGGAAAATAAAGAGCTCAAAGAACAGAGGTAGCTACTTTTATATATGTTACAATCAATAACTATTTATTAGCCATTACAAAATTTTAATCTGTGTTGGATGCCACCTTAGATACTAATAATACAAATATGAAAGACTTGTATGAGAATGAGAAAAGTGAAGATGAGGAAAAATCAAATCCTAATTAACTTAACAGTATAGGAATAAAACAATATAAAATGCAGTATTAATATTGGGGTATTTACATAAAATGATGGGAATGAGGACAGATATACTGAAGTCATGGAAGAACTTTTGAGTCCTTATAGGGAAAGAAATCAGATATTTTCTATATAGTTCTATTGCACGAATTAGGTGGCAATGCTTAGAAAGTTTACATTTTAATTCTATACAGAACTATATGAAATTCTTGAAATGTTGCAAGTCTCTGTTAGTGAAAACATTTCAAAGAATGTTAGCAATAGTCAGGATATTGTAAATGTAGTTGGAATTTTTGAATAATGACCTCACTAGTTTAGATGAATTTTAACTTCCTTCCAAATTTTAGATTCTGTGTTTATCTGACTCTAATGTGTTAGGTATGAAAGGTTAGCTGGTGCATGACTACTAATGAAATCATAAGTACATGGTGGAATCAGTAAGGAGCAGAAAGGAAACCAGCAAGCCCACCAAATTTGGGATTCAGTTATTTAAAAAATGATTTTCTTATATTCTTGTGGGATGATAGTAAGCATTTCCGTAGGAGATTTCAGTCATAATGGCAGCATGATAGCAAAGAAATGGACATTCCTGCTTAATGAGTTCTATTTTTTCATTTAGATCCTTTACAACACAATGATGCATTGAAGCTTTGTCCTTCTGCTCATTTCCATGAAATAAAGACAAAGAAGGCAAATGAGGTAAAATGTATTGGAGTAGGAAGACACACTCAAATAAGAAGTTGTGAACACATGAGACTCTTAGTCCTAATTCTCCTAATGGCTTAATGTCAGGTCAAGAGGCATAGGATATTACATAATCATGTCCTCTAATTAAGGGGCTCTTCTATTAGATTTCTTCCCTTCCACCTATGCTGGAACACTCCAATATACCTTCCCTCCAAGTTCCTAGAGTATGTTCTCTGATGAAGCACAGGCATTCAGTCTTGATCCTATCTCTTTCCTATGAGGACATATTTCTATACTGAGCTTTCAACCAGTTTATAAGGGGCTTTATAAGGGGCTGTCCAAGAAGTCTGAGAGCTGAGGGGGGTAGATTGGTACTCATTTTGTGCCTCCTACTTGCAGATATATCCAGTGATGGAGAAAGAGGGTCGGACTCGCCTGGCCCTCATCATCCACAACAAGGAATTTGAGTATCTTGATTCTCGAGATGGTTCTGAAATTGACCTTTGGGGCATGGAATCTCTGCTTGAAGACCTTGGATACTCAGTAATCATAAAAGAGAATCTCACGGCACTGGTAAATGACCCAAGAGAGTGGGATAGGACTCCTTCGCTTCTTGATTCAAAGTAGTAGGCAATCAACCTTAAAAGATAATATATATATGTACATACATGTACATATATATATATATATATATATAAACACACAAGGCTCAACCTTTAACAACATGTTAGTGATCTCTTATAGAATGTCTTAATGGCCCCTGTTGAAATAGACCAATCCTCACACTCTTTCCTCTAAGAATAAATTTTTGTAGCATTTTCAGTGGTTTTTCATGACAAACAATGCCAAATATATTATTATGGTTATGTTTTGGGACAGGGATTGGGTTTGGGGATGGACATGTATAAAATATAGTGGTGGGAAGGTGTAATGGTGGTGAGATTGGTGTTTGAACATTAAATATAATCAAATACTGTGAAGTACCTTATAAAATTTTTAAAAATTTAAAAAATAATTCCTTACCTCCTAAACAGTTCTGAACTTCTTTAGAAGCTGTAAGAACAAAGTTCACGATGTAAGAACAAAATTTCAGGGGCTGTATTTGCTTTAGAATAGAGCCCTCTGCCCTCTGGACTCCAGTGGCTCGAAATCACAGTCTTTTTTGTAATGACTTAGAGCAGCTCTGTTAAGTAGTTATTTCACTAAAAGATGTCAAGTTTCCCCCAATTTCTTAATCTAAAAGACAACTACTACTTAACAGTCTGGGTAAGACACTTCAAAGTGCCTGAAATAGCCCATTACCTACAGAATGAACCAATCTGACTTTTATCATTTTCACATCACTTGTCTCTGCCTAAAGTTAAGTGTGCAATAAGAAGAAAGAGAGGTTTTAAACACACATACAAAAAGAAAACAATATTGTGATTCTGCTCCACCCAAATGCCCTTTGTGACTTTAAGCTAATGTTTGTTTCCCAAGATGGGTGATTCCTGCCCCACCCTTGCCCCAGCCCCCACAGAGTGGGGGTGCTGGCATGATCCAGGGAAGCAACAGTAACCACAGGTACAACTGGGGGTAACTTTCTGTTTGCTGAAAAGAGGTAGATTTCCAGGCATGAAGACATGCAGAGTAGCTATTTTTTTACAAAACGGGTGGTAAGCCAAATAAATTTTGGAGACTGCTTTAAGGCCAATTTCTACCTAAGTTTCTACATGGCATACTTTTAAGTTTCTACTGTGGCATGATGAACAAAATTGGTGTTGGTAAATTTTATTGATATGAAACTCCTTTTTAAAGAAAACACTGTCTTCCCATTGTTCATCCATTTGCTTGAGCAGGCCCAGTAACATCTCCATTTTGAGACTTGTTGTTACTGTGTTTGCTATATTGAATATGTCACGGGTAGCTTGCCAGGCTTTGCCATGAGGGCAAGATACTCTTGGTAGCTTGCCCGGCTCTCCGAGAGGGGTGGAGGAATCGAACCCGGCTTGGCTGGGCTGGCTGCACGCAAGGCAAATGCCCTACCACTGTGCTATCGCTCCAGCCTTTTTTAAAGAAAATTTAGAGAAATCTAGTATGTAAAAAAAATGTAGATGAGAGCAAAGTCTTCCCAACCGTTGAGTTTATGTCACATTCCCACACTAAAGTCTTTATCCCAGAATCTTCCAAAATCTCACTTTCTTTAAAAAAAAAAAAAACTGTCACTGTCACTGTCACTGTCCTCCCATTGTTCATCAATTTGCTCGAGCAGGCCCAGTAACGTCTCCATTGGAGACTTTGTTGTTACTGTGTTTGGCATATCGAATACATCACGGGTAGCTTGCCAGGCTCTGCCGTGTGGGCGAGATACTCTCAGTAGCTTGCCGGGCTCTCCGAGAGGGGCGGAGGAATCGAACTCGGGTTGGCCATGTTGGCTGCGTGCAAGGCAAATGCCCTACCGCTGTGCTATGTGTGTGTGTGTGTGTGTGTGTGTGTGTGTGTGTATTTATATATATATATATATATATATATATATATATTAATCACTGTATCACTGTATCACTGTCATCCCAATTTTCATCAATTTACTCGAGTGGGCACCAGTAGCATCTCCACTTGTCCTAGCCCTATTTTAGCAGCCTCCCTTTACTCATCTTTCCCAATATATTGGAGGCTCTTTCAGGGTCAGGGGAGTGAGACCCGTTATTGTTGCTGTTTTTGGCCTATTGAATACGCCACAGTTAGCTTGCCAGGCTTGCCACGCGGATATATATGCTAATACATCAATATTTTCTGTATGTCAATATTTTCTGCATCTAGTTTCTGTCACAATCCCACTCAGTTCTCATCCCGGGCTCCCTCTATGCTCCCTCTGAACTTCTGGGGCTCTGCAAGCTCTCTCTGGGTAGATGCCTTCAGTGGTCATTCAGGGTCTCTTTCAGGAAATGCAAGAGGTGCTAGAACAGTTTGCTGGCCGTGAAGAGCACCACACCTCAGACAGCACATTTCTAGTATTCATGTCACATGGCGTCCAGAAAGGAATCTGTGGAATAAATCACAAGGAGGAAGAGCCCGATATTCTTCCTGATGAAAACGTCTTCCAAATTTTCAATAACCGCAATTGCAAGAACCTAAGGAATAAGCCCAAAGTTATCATCACACAAGCCTGCCGAGGCAGTAAGTCTGAACTGGGGTAGCATGTATGAGGATATGCTTTTTTAATCTGTTACAGGTTTATATCTCTCCAGTAGATATATATTCTCAGCTGTGTGAGGGGAGCAGCTTTTCAATACTGCTTTCATGAAACAAGAGTACAGAAACAAGAGTTGTTTTGTAGACACCATTATCAGTGGAACAAAGACACCCTTCTCACTGAGGAGGAGGTAGTCAAATTGTGGTCCCAAACTCTAGATTGTGTTCTCTAGTGATCAGTCAGCAGGGTCACTTTCCTTATATTTCTAGTACATGCTCATCTTTCCTGAAGTAAAGGCAAATAGTAAAAAGGTCGTGTGAATGCATGTGTAACATCAGTCACAAGAATGGCTCTCTTTCAGAAGGGAAAGGGATTGTCTGGGTGCCTGATCAGGGTGAGGTCTCTGCACGCAGACGGGCTGAGAAGTCCTTGCAGAACAATGGAATGACCACCTACATCCGCAGTGACGCAGTGACCCTGAGCCATCTGGAGAGAGACTTCATTGCTTTCAAATCTTCCACTCTAAGTAAGTCATTTCACAGAGAACAATTCCTAAATCTCTTCCTATTTCTACATCCAAAAGTTTAAAAATTCTTATAGCTTATTACTAATAAATAGCCTTCTTTAGTGAAGATCTGAACTTAAAAACAGTCCATTGAGAAAAATGTATCTGCTAGTTGGGGATTTAGTCTTTTCTGATCATCTACTAACAATTCAGCAAGCCAATCAGTGAAACAGTCATACTTGCTCCAAAGAGTCAGAAATTCTTTTCCTGTTCTTTGAATCTAGCATTAGTAAATTATTCATTAGCATGAATATATTAGTATGTATTTATGTGACTGCTTCTAGTATTTTGCAACCACTGACAAAAATTCTTCTTTTCCAAGAAAGTCCCAGTAAGTAGACACTGAGTATGTTCTTCTCAAGTATATAGAAATTATTTTTGACAATTAAGCATACTACTGCTCTATCAATGATTTAGACATTGAGTAATTAAAAAAACTTATACTAGTCACACTTCTAAGTATTCTGGGTCATAATCTGGCTAACTACTGATTTCCAACACATTAGGTTTGGGGTGGGACTTGAGACTTTGTCTTTCTGAAAAGTTCCAGGTCCAGGATAGTCCCATGGGTCTATAAGTGAGCAGCCAGGGACTAGAGCACTGTCCAAATCTAGTCTAGTTTAATCTAGTCTCCTCTGATCTTAGACAGGAAAAAGACCAGGCAGGCAATAGCCACTCTGCAGTGGATATTGTAGAAGTTCTACTTCTTTTTGATTTACATAATGCAGTTCTACTACAAAATTGTTTGGAAGCAAACTTCTTTTAGCTATGAAAGTAAATTCAAATGGCATATACAACCTGAGATACACATTTAAGAGGTTGTGTTCTAAGAATGGACAAATGAGCTAGGAGTAGGAGAGAGTCCTAGTTTTGGGTTGCCAAAACTCAGGCTGAAAGAACTTGAGTTGTCGGTTAACAGTAGAAACAGTTTCCAGTATAAAAGGTCAGAGCCACTAATGAGTGATCTGAGGAAGGGTCAGGCACAGAGATCAAAGCCAACTCTTTGAGGAGAGCTATTTGATAAACTTGGCATATGTGTGTATGTATTGTGGGGGGTGGAGGGAGAGGAGCAGAAGCAGAAGCAGACAGTCAGAAGGAAGAGGGTAGTGTGGAAATGAAAATAGCGAGTAGAGATGATTTCTGAAAAATGATGATTAAGTGGGAAAAATCAGAAGGTGGCTACAGACAGAGTGACCAATAGGGAACAGCACATTTTCTATGACAGAGAGATTTGGATCGTGTGGGATAGTAGAGAGAAGCAGTAGTTCTCAGGACACTCGCACTGGAAAAGTAATTACTGGGGCTGGAGATATTACAGAGATGAAGGCATTGACCTCTCATGTGGCCTACATGGGTATGATTCTCAGTACCACATATGGCCCCCTGAGCCCTGCCATAAGTGATCCCTGAGTGCAGAGCCAGAAGTAAGCCCTGAGCACCATTGGGTGTGTCCTACCCGCTGCCCCAGTTTCTGTAGCTGCAGGAACTCCAGTAGGAAGCAGATCTGGATAGAGAGAAATGACAGGATCCAAATTATTTTTCTCTGTTTTCTCTGAATTTTTTTCCTCTATGTTGTTCCTTGCATGGAATCAAGGGATGACAGAACTGAATAATTTTTTTCTATTAGTAGCAAGTGCTAGAAGAATTCTGGTTTATTCTATCACTTTCGGTCTCAAGGGCCATAATTTTCACTTTTCCTAGTGCAAAGATAAAGGGAATGTATGGTTAAATGTCAGGAGGATTTTGGAGACTGCTGCAAGAGTGTTGCCCTCTCTTTTGCTCTGTCAAAGCACTGCAATAAAACTTGGTCCCAAATCTTTGACTCTGAGAATATTATGCCCTTCCAAAACAGCAGCCCAATATGTGAATACTTCAACTTACAGATAATGTTTCTTGGAGGCTTGATTCCAGTGGCTCTCTCTTCATTTCCCAACTGATTCGATGTTTCAAAACCTATTCTTGGTGTTGTCATTTGGAGGAGGTTTTTCGAAAGGTAGGTAGGATCATTCAAATCTTTTAAATTTACACTTAATGAAACATTGTAGAGCTATTAGTAGTTTCTTTTAGGTGGGTGGGAGATTCTGAAGCCCTTAAATCATTTTGATGCTCCTTCTAATACTACAAGTTTATTTTCAAAGAAAGTTTTTGAAGGACTGCATAGGATGAGTTCTCGAACTCAGAGAGCTGTCCTTGCTTGTTCAGAGACCCTTCTGAGAATACTAATTCAACTGTGCATGCACCCTACCCATGGGACAGCTAAGGGTTCCTTTTGTTTATACTATGGCCCACAGCCATGATATACACAATACACATTGTACGTGTTCTCACTACTGAGAGAGAAACCCAGATTTCTTGTTCAGAAAATCCCCAAAATCTTTCTCTCCTTCTATAGGTTCAGCATTCATTTGAGACCCCAAGTGACCTGGCTCAGATGCCCACAATTGATAGAGTGACCTTGACGCGCTATTTCTACCTCTTCCCTGGGAATTGAAACTCACAGGAAGGATCACAGGTAAATGTATCCAAGGGGTGTATTTGGCTGCTCCGTGCTCAGCATCCCAATAAAGTTTAGAGAGAATGCAGAGCAGAGGTAGAATACTCCTGCTGGGAACTCCCTGTTTCTCATCTAACTAGCCCTTAGCAAACCCTGTTTTATTTGACTTCTGTTATAGTATAATCATTGCATAGAAATATTTGAGCAATGGCAAACAGCTAAAACACTCTTCATTTCTTATTTTTCTTAGGACTGCGTCTTAATTGTGCAATATTTATGCTGGATGCATGCGGTGGGGAAAAGGAACCAGAAACCCTAGAAACACTTGGTGTTTGAGCTCTTGTCCCGGCTCCTCTTGCTGAATTGCTGGCCATCCCCATTCATGATGTGGCATTCAGGATCACAGTACACTGACCTCTGGACTGGTGCTGGGCCATGAGGCCCAATGACACATCTTTCATTCTAGGATAAAAATTTCAGACCATATTTTGAAGCTACATCTCACAGTAAAGAGTAGCTCTACGTATGTTTTACCAAGAAAATGGAAGCATGACAGTCTCTCTAAAGCTCTTTTGACAGGACTATTTCTGATTAAGAATGTTCCTATGCCAAATGTCTTGCCCTGCAAAAACATGCCAAAACTGTCCCGTTTTGGGTACTGAATAAATGCTTAATAAATTATTTTAAAATTTTGCTTGTCTTCTTAACTTTCTTGTAAGGGTAACTATTGTTTGTTATAAAACTGATTTTAAATTTAAAAAATCATTTTAAAAATATTTTCCTGGAGATATTTCAGAATTTTTTGTAACTCTAAAATAAAATCAATATACTTTAACATTTTTTCATTAACTTTGGGCTAGATAAATATTCACTATCTGAAGCTCATGGGAAGACCAAGTTAGGAACAACTTCTGAGCACCAAACAGGGAGTCCCACAACTATAGGCCGTGGTCAAAAACCAAAAGCAAATAGAAATCAAAAGAAACTCATGATCTTCATATAATCAATTTTGTGTCTGTTATCTTTTAGTAAATGTTCTACCTATACTATTTTTGATTTTATAGTATTCCATCAGGCATCCATAGAACGTACAATTAAACATCTATCTTCTATTTCAGTACTTTTAATGTATTTCAGTATTTTTTTCCTCCATACTATGTGATGATGAATATTTAATGCCTTTGCTTTTGCCTGGGTATGTTAAATTTTTAATAGTATATTCCCCAAAATAAAACTTCAAGGTCCAATTATAAACATATACTTCTCATTGACAGAATTTTATGCCAACTTATATGCATAAAAGAAATATGACTTTTAGAGAAGTAACTGTGTTTAGTAATATCACAAATTTGACAGATGTAAAGCAGTCAATTTAACTGAAACTTTTCATTATGAAAATTATGAAATTTTTTAAAGTTATAACTAGCTAGTTTCTATACAAATTCTTTTTTTATTGAATCACTGTCAGATACAGTTTTTAGTCATACAGTGTTCCAACACCTATCCTTCTACCAGTGTATATTTTCCACCACCAGGGTCCCCAGCTTCCCTCCTATCACCCTCCCCCAAGGCTATATCTTTTAGACACTTTCCTTCTTTCTCTGTCTGTCTGTCTGTCTCTCTCTCTCTCTGTCTCTCTTTCTGTCTCTGTTTCTCTCTTTCCCCAACCCCTTTTTGGGGCATTAATGGTTTGCAATACAGGCACTGAGAGGTTATCATGTTTTCCTCTTGTTTTCAGCACACAGTTCTTATCCAGAGTGATCATTTCCAGCTATCTTTGTCATGGTGGTCCCCTCTCTATCCCAAATGCCTTCTCCCCCAGAATTTGAGGTAGGCTTCCAACTGTGAACCAATCCTCTTGGTCCTTGTTTCTACTGTCCTTGGGTATTGGCCTCATATTATGTTTTTTTTTTGGATCCCACAAATGATTCCAATAATTCTATGTCTGTCCCTTTCCTTTTGACTCATTTCAGTCAGCATGATATTCCCCATGTCCATCCATTTATAAGCAAATTTTATAACTTCATTTTTACCTAATAGCTGTGTAGTATTCCACTGTGCAGATGTACCATAGTTTCTTTAATCAGTCATCTGTTCTGAACACTCGGGTTGTTACCAGATGCTGGGTTTTTGTGAATAGTGCTGCAACGAAAAGTGAAGTGCACCAGGGTTGGAGCAATCGCTTCTGGTGATATTCAGCCTGCAGGTAGGGGGCTGATATTTCTGTGCTGGGCTCAGTGATGTGACATTGTTTGTGTCCAGCAGTGTTTGGAGTTCTCCAGGACTACACCCAGAAGTGTTTGGGGAACATTCAGTGCTGGGGCGAGAGCTCAGGGCCTGATGGTAAAGACCGCCATTCCAGACCTATGAACCATCTCTTGGGACTCTTCTTACAACTGATTTGAAATTTTTTCCTCTATACATTAGTTCTCTGCCAGAGAACTGGCAGAGGGACAAATCCACGCGGGTTCCGGGGCCGAGATCTCCAAGCCTACTCGGATTGGAGTCGAGCATCCTCCACCCAGATCCTCCAAATTCCAGTAGGCGGGGGTCACACCCACCACCTGGCCCCCTGGTGCCGTGTAATCCCATCAACGGCCAAGACTCAGAGACTATAACATCCAGCTCCCGGAACTGTGCGGCCGCATTTGCGGCCGCGCGACATCTTATCAGGACATCTTTTATGACATCTTATCATCTCATTCCTACTTTGGACAAACTTGCAGGCTATCGAATGTAGCCTGCCCACAGGGCAGAGTCTGGCAAACTCCCCGTGGCGTACCAAATTTGCCAAATACCAGTAACAATGATGGGTCTCATTCTCCTAAAGATCCTTGAATATAATCTCAGGGTTAGGATGAAAGAGACGTTACTGGGGCCTGCTCGAGGCAATCGACGAATAACAGGATGATGAAATGAAATGAAAAAAATACATTAGTTGAAAGTTATTTTTATGAATTGTAATATATTCTTGCTGGAGCGATAGCACAGCGGGTAGGGCGTTCGCCTTACAAGCGGCCAACATGGCCGACCCAAGTTCGATTCCTCCGCCCCTCTCGGAGAGCCCGGCAAGCTACCGAGAGTATTCGATATGCCAGACACAGTAACAACAAAGTCTCCAATGGAGACGTTACTGGGCCCGCTCGAGCAATATATTCTTACAGAGGATGTCATTTACATTTTCGATGAACCAATTGTGAAACATAAATTATTTGGATGATGTTTTATTTTCTGTTTTGTTTTCTTACAGATTGTGCAATAACATCATATCAATCTAGAATTTGCCATGAACTATGTGATATTGGAGGATAGGAAAGAAGCAATTAGACTTTGGTATCTACTTTGAGAAATTTTTGACTATAAGAGACTGATATATACCTGAGATTTCAAATAAGACAAGACAAAACATCAAAATGAAACATAAAGTCATGTTGCAAATACAACATATAATCAGATATTCCTTCTGATAAAAAACAAAAAATCAGCCAAGTCTCAGGAAATCTCTCCCAAAAATGGAAAATAAGTCTCTGAGATTAGAATCTCCAATATAGAATGTGCACTTTTATATCCTATTGTCAAATATTATTTTGCATTTTTTTTTGTTTTTGGGGACACCCATGGCAATGCTCAGGGGTTATTCCTGTCTCTGCACTCCTGGTAGTGTTCAGGGGACCATATGAGATGCCAGAGATCTAATTAAGATCAGGGGATCTAACCCGGGTCAGCCAGGTGCAAAGTAAATACCCTATCTGCTATACTACCTCTCCAGCCCCTATTATCTTGCATTTTAATGGGGTGGGGGATAATGAAAGAGAGAAAGAGAGAGAGACAGAGTGAGAGAGAGAGAGAAGAGGGAGAAAGGGATAAAGGTAGAAAAGGAGAGAGGGCGAGAGGGACAAGGAGGAGGAAGAGGAGGAGGAGGAGGAGGAGGAGGAGGAGGAGGAGGAGGAGGAGGAGGTAGCACATATGGCCAAGAAATGAATTATAGATCTTAAGCTGGGTTGAAACAATTATTCCAAAATGAGATGTGTGCTTCTTTGCAAAATTTAGAAAGAATTTTGGAAGGCAATATTGGGCCACACCCAGTATTTCTTGGGGGGCTTTTCTAGATCTGTGCTCATGCTTTGGGAAACTTATGCAGTGCTGGAGGTCGAACTAGTATTGGCTGCATAAAAGGCAAAAGCCTTGCCTCTTTTAGTCTCCCAAATCAGTTAAATATCCCCCTCCTCCCCTCTCTCCCCCGCCCACCCCAAACTGCCTGGTTTGGGGCTTACCATGTAGAAATACTATCTGTTGTTAGGGTGTTGCAAGAGAAAAATAAGTGCATTTTTGAAAGTCTTTTTTAATGTTCACATTAGGGTATTGCTTTCTGCAGTTCCCCCGTCTCGAGATAGTCCTGCCTTCTGGGGCCTGGGTCAGTGCAGCACTGTAAGGCCTGATGTCCATATCTCTGAGGATCCAGCCCTCACATTTCGGGACTACTTTGGGACTTATATCAGAGTTGATGTCTCTTTAGCTCCTGCCTCGGTTTCATTACTTTCTGAAACTCATTTCCAGGGCCCCCTATCTGCCTACCTACTTCAGGACTCCCATATTTATATTTATAGATAAGATTCTCATTTTAAACTGTTACAAATGCGTCATAAGATATTTTTAATTGTGCTCAATGAACCATGAGTAATATTTTTTTGAACCCTAGAATGACTAAGACTGTTTTAGCCCTGAGTCTACCTATAAGTCACTTACAAACACATTTAAAGTACAGTCTAAATTTATTTCTGAGAAGGAAACGTTATATTTTGGGGTCGGCGAGGTGTCCCAACAGACTAAACACAAGCTTTGCATTTGGGAGGCCCAGATCCAATCCCCAACAGCACATGTTTTGCTGAATCGTTCCAGGAATAACCCCAAACACAGTAGCCCAAGCAGCATTGCAAGGTTTGGGCCCCAAACAAAACAAAACACAAAGTATGATTTTGTTTAAATCACTCACATATGTTCCATGTGTACATATATTATTTTAAATCTCAATCTGTAGATGAAAGTCAATAAATACAAACACTAAAGTGCTACAATTTATGTCAGTCTTGAGAAGATTATTATTATGTAAAAATTTAAAACTGAAAGTTATAGGAAAGGCATTGAAAAATGACTCATGATGCTGAAAGTTCTTTCCTTGTCTTGTTCTTTCTCCTTCTTCACATAAACAGACTCAGAAATATATTTAGAAACACAAGTATAATCTACGACCTGTCATTTTATTTTGTCTTTAATATCACCTAGGATGAGATGAGTAATAGAGAAATGAAGCCTCGTTAATCTCCACAGTACTGAGCTTCAAAGTCCGGGCAAGGCAGTACAGGTCTGTTAGGTGAAGCTGAGGTACAAGAGTCCTGGTGTCTCCCTCCCCAGACTGCCTTCCTATCACTTCTTGAATCAGGCCTTAGTTCCAACACCCCCTTGGCTCACAGTGACTGGTGAAGCTACAGCATGCACAATCTCTGAAGACATGGTGCTGCAGGGAGCCTGAGGAGAGAGGAACATGTACATGTCCCCTGATTTCCTGAGAACCATTTTTTTCCTAGAGCTAAACACCAGAATTTACTTACACTGCACATCAGTGCTGTTCTTCTACAATGGGAGCCAAGCAGGGCAGTGTTCACTGAAAACTGCCACCTGTTCAACTC